CTGAACACCACAGCACCGAAAGTCCTTAAGGAATAGGAGTTTCTACATTCCAAGAAAAACAGCAGTTTTTATTATTTTATTATCACAGTGTTGTTCTAAGTAATAAAAAAAGCAATCCAGGCATTCAAGACTTAGTTTCATGATCCTAAAATATGAATCAACTGCACCATATGCACTGAAAAACGGGGATCCACTGAAGGTGGAAGCAGTGCTTTGTCTTGCACTTTTCTCTCAAGCTTCAGATTTTCTCCATCCACGTCAGCGAACCCTTGATCATGACAGGTACCCGAGTCCCTTCCTCCTCCTTGGAGACCAGCGGTCACCTAAGATTCTGGCAACTCAGGGGTAATTCCTCTGTTACATATCAGAATTGCCTTTTTTGCTGGCCTTCTGTTAATCCAGTTGAATTTCCTAATTCATTTCACTGCTGAGAACTGAAACAAGAAGGTCAGCATTGGGGGAAGATACATCAGACAAAACCGAGGCCAGATCACTACTTTCAGCAGCATCCCTGGCTTAAAAAGACTGAGCCTACAGCAATGACCCACACTTTCAACAGCTTCATGACACATTATCATTCCTATTTTATAAGTAACAGTCTGGAATTAAATTCTTATTATATAAGTGGCAAAACTCCCACTACCTTCTGTAAGAGCAAGACTGGACCAAATGTTGTTGATAGTCAAAAATCCCACAACTCTAACAAACAAACTAGGAAAAAAGTCTGCCAATGTATCATTTTTACATTCACCTAATTTCAGTCTCACTGCTACAAACAGTACAGAGAAACCAGAGGATGTTCCTTTCTAGGAGAGGCATTTAGGACAGGATGCATTCTGGAGTTTATTCTCCTTGTCGGTAGTTCTTTAAAATGAAATGTCAGGGTCAGACAACTATCAGGAAAAACAAAGTGCATTTTGAAAAACATGAAGAAAAAAAAAGATTTCTTTGATACTTTATGGTCAAACATCTGCTAAACTACTATTTTTCCTCAATTATAGGATACTCAAAGCAACAATTATATTTGTTGTGCTCAGATTTTTGGGGATATAATCAGCACTACCAGAAAACAACACAACCTCTCTATATATATCTGTATGTTTTGCCAATGCTGAAACACTGGAAACAAGACAAGGACACTGACTAAGTACGGTAAATCTCTGGTTTCTCAGCCCCCTAAACTGAGCACTTTCTAACATTTAATTCTGTTTGTAACTTGGGAATACATTTCTTTGAGGTGGTAACCATTTTCAGTCTCTGCTGACTTCTAGAAATCCAGGTCACTCTGCATTTCATGTTTCTCTTCTCCCCAACACTACAAGCATGAAAGTTCCTTCCTCACTGTAACAAGACCAAAGGAAGAAAAAAACTTTCTCTTTGACCCAACACCTTCAAATCCTGGGATACATTAAAAGTGAAAATAGAGCTTTTTTTTTCTCTTAGATAAAAATTATAATCTTTCCCACCGTGCCCTTTTTGTTGTGCAAATCAGACTGAATCTCAGAATTTGACATCTTGGCACATTGCCTAGTCCTGAAAAAGAAGATATAGAAACATGGACTTTATCCATGAGATCTCAAGGTACTAAGAAGCATCCTACACATCAGAACTGTCTCAGCCTCCAGTGAGACAAGCAGCTCTGAGCCAAACTCATATCTGGGCCAAAGTGGGTAAATCCAGGCAAATCCAAGACATGGACAAAGTTCTGTCCATGTCCCATATGGTTTTCAGTCCCAAAGGCATGAGTTAGGTAGAACACCAGCAGGAAGTGAAACACCCCTTTTAACCAGGACTCAACACTGACTTAATGTCCAAGGCAAAAATACTACTACTACTGAGGGCTTCCTGATTCTTTCTCCAAGTGTTGTGGATTTTTTTCCACGCATTTGCAGCATACGCTGAAATGGAAAGTGAGCAAACTTAGCACGTGTTCTGCCTATTTGGTCACTCTTAGGAAAGATAGGTTTGAATTTCCATACACAGAAGGGAAAACAAACCCTCTCTTTCCAACATCCGAAGCCAGGTTTCTAACCACTGTTACGGTACTGCCATCTCAATAAAGAGCCCTTCAGACAGCTCTGGAAGAAGAGCTCCAGGAAGAACTTCATGGGCACACATGGAATGCGGAGAGTCCAGTATGAAACACTCAACACACATGAAGAGAATCAGCTTTTAAATCTTCTGCCAGTGTTTCCTACTTTCTTAGCTCATCAGCTCTCATGACTGGTGGCACATAAAGGAATAGGAGGAATACAGAAAATGGCCGAGAGGATGCAAAAGACACAGCCTCTTGTGCCTACCTTTGAACAGGTGGGGTCACCCCTTCTTGCCGTCACACTGACTCTAAAGGACAGAGTTCAGCAGTGCTGTCCTTGGTGTCAGCAGGGATCAGCAGTGCCGAGAAGGAAGGGTTCTGTCACGACTTTACAGACAGCATTTTGAGCACGGAGATGTCTGAAACATACCCCCGTGGGAATACAGTGATTTAAACACACACCAACCTCTAAGCTAACACCTAGCACCTTTGGGATCGCCTGCACAGCTCCGAGACTGTAGGCAGTAACTATGAGACCAAAAAGCAGCCATCTTACAGCTAATGCTCACTCTCCTGGCACAACCAAGCATGGCTGATTTGCACGACCTCACTGTGCAGCAACAGCAATGCTATGCCAGCAGAATCAGCATTAAACATCTTGTATCAAGTTGCATTATTTTGATTACAAGATGACTCACGTTCCCACAGCTTCTTGGCTAAAACAAGAGAAATCAGATATTCCCTGACTGAGGGAAATGGTTCAAATATTTTAAATGCACTGTATGTCAGTACTGCCTTCTATCCCTGTTTCTCAAGAAAAGGGTAGAGTGACAATCGCTGGTTAAAGCAGAAGAATCTGGGAATAAATTCCTCAGAAGCAATGAAGCAGTGGCTTTAAAAAGCTTAAACATATGATTTTCATGCCATGTTCAAGATGAGGTGCACTTTAGGGCCTACTGAGCAGCACACCTCCCAGCTTCCAGAGACTGGGGGCTTCCCTTGGCTTCCTTGTCAGTTTGCGGCCACTCAGCCCTCATAGCAGGAGCCAAGGGCTTACAGGGGGCTGATGAGCTGTGGGCATGGCAACCTGCCACAGCTCCCACACAGCGAGATGAGGGTAGAAGAAATCTAAAGAGCCACGAACAATAGGATAGGTTTTGCCACGAACAATAGGGTAGGTTTTAAGTGAAAACAAAGTAATTTCCTCAGGAGGATTCCACCACGTGTAAGAAGCTGTCTGCTCTTCAGAAGAGAGCTGATTACCATCCAGCTTTCTCACACCAATATGTACACCTCTTCAGACACACAGCCAATCTTGAAGGAAAGAAAAAAGGTAAGGAAGAAAGATGATGCTGCATTTCTAGCATCTGACAGTAGAAACCAGCACTGAAAACAATCTTCAATCATCAGTACAATAAGATGCTTAAAGACAAAGAAAGAAGGATCCAGTTAGCCACTGTGAGCGTTGATTAAAAAAAAAACAAATAAACAAAAGGCAAACCCAGGTGAGTGCAAGTGAGTGCACAACTGAGGAAAGGCAGCAGCAAGAAGACTTCCCAGAATGTGAAAATGTCCACCAAGATTAAACTGCCAGTTCTCTTTACAGGTTCAGTAACACTTGCCTAACACCAAAGCACCACTTTAATTTTAGCTTGTGTTTTAGGAAGCCCGGAATAGGAGTGCAGTGGATGTAAAGTAAGTTGCAGGTTTAACCTTTGCTGTAAATATTCTACCGAAGCACTAAGCTTCAAACAGATATTATTAATGGTTTCAGTTGTATTGCATTTTAGGCAATTTACTTGAGTACGGCAGAAATACCACCAACAAAACTTACAGCAGCAGTTTCTCAGAGCAATTAAGATTTATTCCAAACATATCTTATGTGTCACCATTTTATTTTGTCATATTTTGTAGGACTATGCATTTTTTCTAAACAAAAAAGCCTAGAATTTGCTTCATTTCAATCAAAAAGCTCACTATCAGAAAAAATGTACAATTTGTAAGAAAAGTATGATAGAATGTTGTCTTTTACATCCTAAATTTCTTTCCTTATAAAGGAACATGATAGCATTTGAAGCTGTCTAGGAGTAAGTCTACTGTTATTTATACCAGACAGAAGAAAGTTCTACACAGCAAGCGCCACACTTACATGTACAAAAAGACAGTCTTACATACTAGTTCATTAGCAAGCAAGATGATTTCTGGGAGCTGAAAAAGACTGTTTTTTTGCTGAGCTCTAAAGATCATTCTTGTTCCTGAAGTAGCACATCATATATGTACTCAAAGTGTACTGCTGTACTCAAAGGCAGCACACTTTTCAGCAGCAGGTGCCAAAAACTTATCCATGCAAGCCTGAGACAGCAAGTAGAAAGGAGGAGAAGGAAGCGGGGAGAAGGAAGGGCAAATAGACACCAATTGCCATGCTTAGCAAGGGGCTGGCACTTTGCAAGCTCTGCACAAGATTCTACTCTTCTTTTTGACATCTATTTATTTATTTATTTATTTTCCCCAGAGTGGAGTACTGAGCTTGGCAGGGCAGAGCATGGCAAGAAGAGCAGAAATCACATGTCAGCTCAGCACCCTACCTAGAAGGGTTTTGTCTGCCCCCCCCCCCTTCAACCTCCCCAAGTCTCCTCGCCCAGTAAAAAAGGAACAGCCAGATAAGCCCATATCACAGGACCAAATTGCCCACTATCCTGAGCAGAGGAGCAGAATGTTTGCAAACGAGTTTTCAAGTCAAAGCACAGATTTAAAGGAGGGTCAGGAATCAACTGGAATTTTACAGCTCCATTCAAACAAACTGAACCATCAGACTGCACCACAACCACGTCAGGCATAGAAGTACTGGTAAATTAGCACCATGTCCTGCAGAACCATGCTAGCAGGAATTAAACTTTAGTTTGTCCACTGAGAGAAAATACTGTTAGAGGTATGATACAGTTTGGCATTAAAACATAAGTATTACCTTCCGGAGGAGTTGCAACACTGCTCCCAAGTCCCAAAATAGCAATGCTGTGATTCCTTGGTTTCAGCATCATGGCAAACTCTTCTCCTCTTTCCCAGTGAGGTACTTTCACAGGCTCCAGGTGCACATTCTCCAGCCCGTCTTTCTGCAGGGCACTGTACATATACTTGATGGCTGCGTCTAGATTTTTTGAACCACTTAGTCTAGGTCCTATGGTATCAACAAAACCAGCCAATCTTTCATAAGATCTGTTCTGAGCTTTTCCGTAAACAGCAAGGTCAATTATAGCTTTAGCAATATCATAATAGCCAGCTATCTCATTTCTAATGTCTTCAAATGTTTTTGGGTAATTGCCATCTCTGCTCAAAGACTTGCCAGCATATTGTGGCAATAAGTTCATGAAAAATATTAAGAACAGGTATTTCATTTTTTCCTCTTCTCTACAGATGGCCTGTTGGAAGAGAGAAGAAGAATATTAAAATAAAAAAATTACAGAGTTATCAGCAAGTCTCTCTTGTTATTTGGATTGGCAGACAAGCCAAAATGTAAAGTAGTCAGTTTATCACGAAAACGCTTTGATCAGAACTGCCAGGAAAGCAAAATCAACTTGAGGACACAATTATTGAAAACAAATGAAAAAGATACTTACACCACTGGACACAGCCTTTGTTGTGGTCTTCAGAAATGCTTGTGGAATGCAGCATCTCTTTAAACAATCACATCCTTCACTGAATAAAAACCCTGAGCTGCTCCCATCCAATAGGAGCTCCATAGCTCCCTTCTGGAGAAGCAGGATTTGTCAGAAGTGCTGAATTCAATGTCTTCACACAAAACATCTGGACAAAAATATTTCTTAAACCATTCATGAATAAAACTGCTTCTTAATCTCTATCTTCGTAACCAGGAAAGCACTTTCCCTCATGCTAGAAATACATCACAGAAATTTAAGTCCAATGAGCCTACAGAGAAATTGTTAACTTCTTCACTGCACAAATACGTGATTACCAGAGAAATCAAATGTTTTATTAACATGTTCATCAGTTAAGGAGTGACTTCCTAAAGCAGCACTGCAGAGAGGTGCGGTGCCAGAGGTGCTGACTCTGGGTTGAGTACTACAGTAAGCTTCTTTAACTTCATAGTATAACTCACTGATCTTTAAAAGTTCTTATTTTTAAGACCGGTCGTTCCTGTAAAACAGATGGGTTGTCTAAGTACTATTAACTGAACTGACAAAGAAGCCTCTGAAATCAGCTGGAGTAGTTGCAAAGCTCTTTTACAGAACAGAAAGCATGAGTATCCAAATGAAAAATAGAAAGGTCTTCATTGATATATGCATAAGGTAATATAATCGCTTCATTTTCCTTTAAAATTAAATTTGGCTGAAATCTGAATTGGTATTCAGCACTAAACACCCACAAATGAGCCCTAAAAAATAAGGCTCTTAAGTCAGCCCTATCCCTGCAGATATGAAGAGACTTGAAAAATAGTGACATGACAAAGATTTTGATCCATCATTCCTGCCATTCTCATGGACTTTCAAAGACACATTTTTTCAAAACAAATGAGATTTGCCCCAAAATACAGTAAAACTAAAGCCTAACATTAACCTCTATTCTAGAAAAGACGTTTTACTTGGAAACAATTTCTCTACAAACAACAAATGACTAATAAGTTGGATAACATGGATAAAATACAGGTAAAGCAGATCTGTACATCATAAGTATAACAAAAGCTTTTATCATTAGATTTCCAGGTTATCCCTACTCGTATTTATTTACTACTTCTTACGAGTTATACCCTTCATTTTGTAATCACTGACCTTAGGAATTATGGTAGTACACTCACTTAGTGGTTTTGATTCATAATGTTATAGGCATACAGAAAGCCAGTACAAAAGTAGGTGGGAGGCTGTGAATGCAGAAGTATATGCACATATAACAGGCATCATATCCAAAAAAAAAAAAAGTTACTTTTTAAAGTATTGCACACAACAGGACCTTTAACTTAGAGTATAAATTCTCAGTCATTTTGTGGAGTAGGCAAGTTTCACAATAGCCAATAACTTTATAAATCAAACTGTCAGAAGGAACCAGAATATTTGTCTAATTTGACCACCAGAGAACGATTGCAGAATATGCCTGAATTAACTCCTACTACCAAAAGCCACAGAGCAAACCATCAGCTGAGCAATTCTTGAGGGAGCAGAAGTTACACCAGTTGTGTACCCCTGGAAGTGCATGACAACTGTACTGAAGCCTTCCACCACTCTGAATGAGCTAAACTAAGAAATTACATTCCCATCCACGCTTGTTACAGTGAAGCACAAACAGCTGAACTCATTTTCTCACCATGTTCACTCTGGATTATTTTCCAGCGTTTGCTAAAAAATAAATAAATAAAAGAAAGCCTTTGAAACAATGAAGACACCTCAATGTACAATGAATTCTGCCATCACACCTAACATGTCTCGTCTCATTTCCTCTCTTGTCCTCTATTAGCTTCAGTGGATTTATATTTCCACCTAGAAATCTTTGGCAGTGCAAGCTTCAGGAACTATTCCTTTCACTTCCCCTCATTCAAGAAACATGTTAAGGAAATCAAGAATCTCAGAAATCCAGATCTGGGTTTGGTAGTTTGTACAGTTGCCACTTCTTGGTTTGTTTGGTCTTTTTTTCACCATACTCTTTCGAAGAAGCTTTACCATGACAGAGCATCCTAGGAGGAGAGCATTATCAACTGCACTAAAGAGTCTAGCTGTGTGAGTGAAAGCTAAATGCTTATTCTCTCTATATGCTACTGTAATAAAGCACTTGTAACTTTGAAGCATAACCTCTGGGAAGTCAGGAACATGCATATCACAGAACAGTGAGGTTGGAAGGGATCTCTGGAGGTCCATCTGGTCCAAAAAACCTGAAGAGTTTATATCCAGCCATTGCAGCACTCCAGTCTCTGCATGATCTCAACAAGACCACAGCCCCACAACTGCTCAGAGTTCTCTAATTCCTTGAGTTTATTCCCCACACTGCATGTATTAGCATACAGGCACTCAGAAGCACAGATTGCCAATGGAAGAGGCAGCACCTTTCTGAGAGCTGTAAGCTGACTAGCTCCCAAGAAGGCTGGGAGACCCAGCAGGGACGCATTCATAAGACACCATCTTAAATGCCAGCTGGTACAATAAGACGGTTTTGTAGAATGAAAACACAGAAAGAAGGAAAGGATTAAATCACATTGCCAGAATTCACAAATCACCAGAGGGGGAAAAAAAAAAAAAAAAAGACAAATTCCTTGGAGTCACAAAGCCCAGCTTACAGGCTAATCAACGCAAACCACCAGCTTACCTATCATAGGCCTTTGTGGGCCTTTCATAAAGAGCAAGTTCAACAGTAGCTTGAGCAATACATGAATATTAAACTGTTCTCTTTAACTATACAAATGTCTCCTAAACTTGAGACCATGGCAGTAAAATATTCCTGAGAGTGATGTGCTGTTTTCCCAAAAGAACAACAGAAATCACCTGTGACTTCGTCTACGTACAATAAATCCACCACAAAGATCTCCTCTCTTGCTGTAAGACACGAGGCAAAGGTCTGGCAAAAGCTGGAGCTGAAACTGGGGTTATCTCAGGACACTGACAGAGAACTGTAAAAAGCCTGTTAGAGTCTGAGCTACTGTTTATTTGCGGTTATAGTACACAGAAAGCATTGGTGTATTTTTACTGCTAAGCTCTGTACTTTCCCCATACTTCTTCCCTTTGGACCAGTTAATTACAAGCTCACAGACATCCTCTGCTAGACACATCAGCTATTTTCTCAGGGCAAGCATGCTCGTCCCTTGTTTTTTGCCAGGCTCATCATTCACAAGGGAGCAGGGAAGATAATCTGATTTTTGACAGAAAACAAATTCTTGCCAAGTGGAGTAAGACAATTTTGTGGAGTTACTTCAAAAAACTTAAAATTTTGGGGGGCTTTTGTTTGATTAAGGGTTTGAAAATCTACTAGACAATGCTGATATACTTAAGTTGTTGAAAGGAAAACACAGGAAGAATTTTTAATTACTATTTAAGACCTCAAGGAGCCCCCAGCTACCAACTTCATGCATTTTTTTCAGTGGAGAAATGAAACCAGTTATCACATTCTCCTTAACTAAGAAATGTTTCCTTTGCTCTTTCTAGCCTCATCCAAAACCAGCAGCACCCTTGCTCCAATGACTGCTGGAGAGGACCTGAATTTCAGGGCCATGCTCCTTCCCTGAATTTCCCACTGAACACTGAAAACAGATGTTTCCACAGCTTTTGAGGATGCAGCCAGCAATGTTTCACTACCTGCCACTGCCCGCTGGTAGAGCACATAACTGATTTCAAATCCTGAGCAAAGGCACGAACCATAATGCATCTCACCTTCCTTGAACAGTCCAGCATAATCCAGTCAGTAACTAGAAGCATTCAGAAATAATTTCTTGCTGGGTAAAGTAATGCCATACCCTCTTAGACTGCAGTACAGGAATCACTCTACTGCTAATTCAGAGAAAAGAGCACATCTGTTGACACAGTCTGCAACATCAAGTTTGTCACCCCAGTGAGTCAGAAAGTACTGGTTCTTGCACATTTCATTAGCTGGATTCAGCAAGTAAGCATCACTATGCCTGCCAAATTAAAAAATAATAATAACAGGATATGCACAAATCTTCAATGCATTTAATTATTCATTGAATGTCTTCAGTAAAACTTCAGAGCAAAATAAGATAGAAAGAAAACATGCTTTCAGGAAGCACCATCCTTTCTCCAAGTCCTATTAATGCAACTAATTCTGTGGGTCCTTAGTACAAAATAAGCATCTTCTAGGGGTAAGAATCTGGGATCCCCCTTGCTTTTCCAGCAGGCAAGGATGCTCAAGAGAGCATTACAGTTAAGCTTCCTCTAGTTTATTTCTCCATATATGTACATCTTACATGCACAGAAAGGACACAGAAGGGTCACATTCCAGCCAGTCCTACGGCCTCATGTTTAGGGTATTCTAAAAAGTGAAGCTTTCAAGAACATGTAAAACCTCTAACTCCCACCTTTCACTTCTCAAAATGGAACTTCTAAATGCTGGCACATTAAGCAAAAAGTGGGAAGCACCACTGCTCCTCCTGACATTTTGAGCAGAACCAATAGCCACTCACGTATTGGAGACTGCATGTTTATGGCAGATGAACTTTGTCTCTCGAGACTTCAGCAGGGCTTAAGGCTCCAGCCCAGAAGGTTATACAGGTTCCTACCTCTTAGACAATATAGAAAATCTGAGACAAATTTCATTGAGAAAGTCTGGAGCAAGGAAGAACTGCCCTCAGTGGAGGAGGATCTGTTTATGGAACTGACGAAGTATGGGCTGGATGAGCAGGCACTGTAGTGGTTGAAAATGGACAGGACAAGCTCAGAGGCCTATAATTACTGGGACAAAGCCTACTTAATGGCCAGTAACTAATGGCGTCCCTTAGGAGCCAATATTTGGTCCAATTCTCTTCAACACTTTCATTAATGATCTGGAAGCTAGCACAGAGTGCTGCCTTTGTAGCTTTAAGGTTATACAAATTTGGGAAGTGTGGCTGATGTAAGAGACAGTTGTACTGCTGCTCAAATTGAGGAGAGAAATGGGCAGACAGGACCTTTATGAAGGTAAACCCTGCAAATGCCTGAATGGAGGGTGCAAGGAGGATGGAGCCAGACTCTTTTCAGTGGTACACAGAGCCAACAGAAGAGATACAAATTGAAAAGCATGAAATTCCATCTAAACACAAAAAAATGCTTCTATACAGTAAGGATGGTCAGGAGTAG